AGGAGGAGGAGGAGGAGGAGGAGGAGGAGGAGGATAATGATGATGAAGAGGAGGAGGAAGAGGAGGAGGAGTCGTCCCCTAAAACATCTAAAACAACGTCGATAAGGGCATAATAATGCACAACATGTAAATATTTCCAAATTAAAATGGAACAAAACAAGGTCATGACATGGACTGACCAAGTCGTCGATACTGGTGATGTGGAAGGTGAGGAAGATATCGGTGACGGCGGAGGGTCGCACGTTTGTCTCGTAGCCGGTGGTGAGCGCCCCTCTCAGGCTGGTCTCGTCGGCGGAACTCCAGCCACGGCATGGGGCAATGAGCACTGCTGGTTTCCGGAGGGGGGAGGGGGCGGGCCATTGTGAAAGGGGGAGGGGGCGGGGCATTTGGAAAGGTGAAAAAAGATGGGTTTTAAAAAAGTTTCAGTACGTGTTTTATGGCACTTGCAACACAATGAGGTCATATAAGAACCGAAGATTAGAGGTGTTACAAGAGAGTAACAAACACAAAAAAGAAGGAGGGGAGATGAAGACGATAGATGTTTGTTGATAGGAAAGAAGAAGCAAATCACACCAGAGTACCTGCCAACCACCCACTACATTTTGTTTCATTATATTTTTCATTAATAAGAAGCACGTCGACAAGATAACAGTCATTTAATGCTGGGGGAAGGAGGGGGGGGGGGGGTCGAAGCAAGACAAGGACAGACAGAAACAGAAGAGGGAAAGACAAGAACTTAAATCTAAAGGTTGTCCATGTAACAAATAGCCTACTGTCTTTTAGGAATAACTTTTGATTCTCTTATAGTTGGACTTGGGAATCATAAAATCATCTATAATTTTCTTTTTTTTTTCTTGGGTTAACATTTTGTTCGAAGTCGCATTTCTCCCTGGAACAAAAGGCTTTTTCTGCCTAACACGGGCTTTGAAAAATTAGCGTAATTACCGCACAATCCTTGAAATATAACTTGATGTCAGTAAAGTACGCATGGCAATGTCTATCATGGTCTGACCCATATCTATGGCAAACCTCACAGCACAAGTAAGCAAATGCATGCATTAATTGACAAACATACAGACTGGGCCCACTTCCCACCCATGGGGGTTGATGATACTATAGTATGTTCAATGTAAAAAATGTATGACTCTGCTTGACTCTACAGACACAAAGAGAAAACGGTGCTCATTAGTCACAGGCTGCGTACTTCTTCTTCGGTGCAAAGAGACAGACCACAGCATGTCTTTTTGTACAACAATGTAAAAACATAGTTTATAATGACACGAAAAAAGGCCATAGGTGGCCTAAATAATGTTACCTGGGGGCCTCCACGGTATATAGGCCATATGTGGCCTAAAGAAGCACTCGCCACGAAAAAAAAATTACTATTTTGTCTCAACAAACCTTACAATCTGTTTCATTTTCACATTACATTTGGTTTCTCTCTCCCACCCCCTCCCCCAGCCTTTACCTCCACGCACACGCACATAATACACCTAAGGAAAACAATCCTGCCCCTCTCCCCCGCCCCCCTCCCCGAAAAAAAAAATCCCGTTTCCTTAGCGGATGGTTTATGGGCGCCACTGGTAGAGATTGGCCATATATAAAAATTTTAAAAAATAATTTTCGCTAAAAAACTAATTTTCAATCGAACCTGTGTAAGACGGCCACCCATTGTTGGGGAGAAAAGAGGCCGTCTAAGACAGATGGTCGTTTAGACAGGACTGATGAAAATGAAGAAATCAAATCACTCGCTTCTGAGGTCCCAACCGGACCATGCTGAGTTCTGTTTTAGTAAGTGTTTTGCGGCACTTGCAACACAATAAGGTCATAAGTGTTCATAACCTGCTGAGTTTCCAACAAGAGTTGGTTGAAGGCTCAGACATGGTTTACATTTCTACGTTTGATGTGATGCCGTCATCAACTACTTACTTACTACCCATTACGCCATCTGGCGTTTAGGGCAGCAACAAAGGATCTCCAGCTCTGTTTTGGGCCATTTTGGTCAGCGTACCCCACGAATGATTCCAGGACTTCATTTCAGACTCTACTGTGCGTCTCCAGGTCACTTTGGGTCTGCCCCTTTTGCGACGTCCTTCGGGTGTCCAGTGGAGGGTAGTCTTCACAGTAGAGTCTGGTTCTCTTCTCAGAACATGTCCAATCCATCTCCACCTTCTCCTTTTTATTATGGCTGTCATGTCCTCTTGCCTACATTTGCTTAATAGATCTGCGTTGGATATCTTGTCGGGCCAGAAGATTCTGAGGATTTGGCATAAGCTGGTTGTATGAAAGGAAGATAGCTTGGCATGGTCATGATCAGTCATCCTCCAGCATTCAGCTCCGTATAGGAGTGTGGATAGTACACAGCTGTTATGCAGCTTTCACTTGGTTTGTATACTAAACTGTCCTGACTTCCAGATGTTGATCATACTTCTGTGTACAGATCTTGCCTTGCCGAGTCTGTTCATGATGTCTTCTTTTGTGCCGCCGTCAGTTTTGATTATGCTGCCTAGGTAGGTAAATGTGTCTGTTATAGGCAGGTCTGTGTTGTTCACTCTAATCAGCGTTGGGGAGCCTACATTCAATGCCATCACTTCTGTCTTCTTCTGGCTTATTCTTAACCCAATCTGGCGTCCGTATTTGTGGAGTCGGTTTGTTTTTTCCTGCATGTGCTGGTTGGTATGGGAGAGTAGTGCAAGGTCGTCGGCAAAGTCAAGATCCTCGAGGGTGGAGAAGGTCCACCTTATGCCTCTTGATGCATCCTCTGTTGTCTTCCTCATGACCCAGTCAATGGCCAGGTTGAACAGAATTGCAGACATGTTGCATCCTTGTCTAACTCCTGTCTTTACCTCAAAAGCAGTGGTACTGTTTCCAACAACGCACTTGAAGTTTTGGTAGAAGCTCTTGATGACCTCCAATATCTTGCAAGGGATTCCATAAGGGCGTAGAATATACCAAAGACTTTCTCTACGCACACTGTCGAATGCTTTTTCAAAATCAACGAGGTTGACATAAAGTTGTCTCTGCCATTCCGTGCACTGTTCTATTATGTTGCGGATGGCAAATATCTGATCTGTGCATCTTCTTTCTTTGCGGAATCCTGCCTGTTCTTTTCCCAAGCAGCTGTATACGGTATCCGACATCCGATTAATAATAATCTTGGCCAGGATCTTGCTGCGAACTCATAGCAACGTGATACCTCTCCAGTTGTTGCAGTCTCTAAGACCTTTTTTCTTTGGTACTTTAACAATGACTCCAGTGCTCCAGTCCTCGGGAATCTGCTCTCCCTCCCATATGGTTTTGAATAGTGGTTGAAGAATGGTGGCAGTCAGTTCTGGGTCTACTTTATACAATTCAGCATTCAGGTTGCCCATTCCTGGAGATTTTCTTGTTTTCATGCTCTTAACAGCTTTTACAATCTCGTGTTTCTGTGGTGGGTCAGAGCTGATATCAAGATCCAAGGTAGTTTCCTGTATGTCTGGGGTGTCCTCAGGTGGAGGTTGATTTAGGACTTCCCTGAAGTGTTCTGTCCAGCGTGCTTCTTGTTCCTTCTCGATTGTCAGCAGCTTGCCGACCTTGTCTTTGATTGGTCCACTCATTCCACCGTGGTACTTGCCACATGTTATTCTTGTGATCTTGTATATGTTGCCTTGTTCACCTTTAACAGCTGCCTCCTTTGCCTCAGTTGCTAACTTTTCCATGGCTTCTCTTTTGTCCTTCCTGACCAGTCTTTTAACTTTCTGGCAAGCTTCCTTGTAATCCTCTGCGTACTTCTCTTGTAGCCGCATCGATTTAGCTGCAAGCTGTCTTTTCTTGATTTCTCTCCGTTCTTCAATAGTATTCCAAGTTCCTTGCTGTATCCATTTTTTGTTTGCAATCTTTTTCTTGACACCAAGACATTTTTTACTGCTTTCTGTGTAGGCCTCAACAATATGCTTCCATTGGGTATTGACTTCATCTGTATTAGGGGCGGTTTCTCCCAGGTCTTGGAGAGCTTGAAATCGATTCTTTAGTTATAGTCGGAAGGCAGATCTCACATTGCCATCACTGAGCTTGTGAACATTAAATGGCGTCCTTGTCGCCTCCCTGGTGAATGTGCGTCATCAACAGCTGGGTTTGTTTGAATGTGTGAAACATTTTTGTTTACGCAGAGAGACGAAGTCTCGCGACCGCTGTAATAAGTCATAAATTCTACAAAGTGTATCAAATGAGGAAGGTTAAATAATACGAAATTTGTCATACCAGGAAGACAAGGTAATAATAATATATTATATTTAAACAGGGATTGCCACCACTCGGAGAATGAGCGACGCTTCTGTCGCAAGTTCATGTTCACCTCCATTGTTGACGACTGGGTAAATAGTAACCGGTCACCTCACTTACGCTTCGTGCATGCTTTGTGGGCGGGGCTTGTAGGTATGACGGACCAAACGCTTCTCTCACCAGTAGCTGACAATGATAACAATTTTATTACTCGGTGGTCAACCTGGGTAAACAATAGCGGGTGTGACCTACCCAACATGATCGGGCATCAAACAATAACGACTGGTGAATATGTGTACATTATGACAGCTTGTCGACAGCGTCAGGAGCCAATACATAATTTATGACAAAGCGTCAGGCGAAGAAAGATCCATTTGGGTGGCCGTTCTTATAGACAAGTTTTTTTTTCGTTTTGTGGAGATAAAATAGGGTGGCCGCGGTCGCGTTGCGCAGACGACTGTTTCACACGGTAAAATTATATTTTTAAAACGCAAAGGGGAGGGGTGGGAAGTGGCTATTTATGCAGGTGGTTGTCATGGCAGATACATATCTACATTGTGTGTGTGTGTGCGCGTATATATATTATATGTATATATTCCAGGAGTTTGGTCAATATATAGATGAACTTTATCTGATACGATCTAATCACCTCTTTGAAATAGAAGAAGGTTTTTAAAAAATATGAGTACTGTTCTCTCTCTCTCTCTCTCCCACTACACACACACACACACACACACACACACACACACACACACACACACACACACACCTAAAAATGGGGGTCAATCGAGTGTATTATTGCTTGCCAGCTGAAAAGCACTCTTGTCCATAATCCGGGTTTCCCCTTCTTTCTTTCTTTCTTTCTTTCTTTCTTTTTTTCTGGTAGTTGTTTGCCAGCCCGCCTCATGGCCACGGTGAAGAGATTACAACGATCAGTGCCGACCCCCGGATTAACTTAAGTACTAATATCTATGACGTCACACGATCAAATTCGTTAATCGCACAGAGCCGGCGGGCACAAACCGCATGATCTGCATAAACAGCTGAATGGCATGCCGTTATGAGTTGACATAACGGTCGTGACAGGCCAGGCAACGCTCTAGCCAAAGGGTCAGGAGAGATGACTTGAACCCAATCAAGAAGGTCGAAAAGGTGCAGAAAGCGTGCCTTTTGTTCTGAATTACGAAACACGTACCCCTGGTGCAATAGTTTCTCAAATGGAAAAAAAATCCCAGACAGCCCAATCTATTTAGAGAAGGATATTTCTAAAATGCATACAAGTATTATAATAATTATCGTTGAAACGAGTGAAACTTGGCATTTTCACTTGCAGGATAAATCACGTTTACCATCACCCTTCATGCAATCAATTATTTCTTATTTACTTATCTATTTTTGTTAAATGTATTTATTCATCACAATGATACACACCCGCGCGTGATTTAGATATAAATTTCATGGTTCTTCTCTTTTCCTCTTGCTCATTTAAAATAGGAAATAAGACAACGGGGGAAATACGATTTTGTAAAAAAAAATAATGACTGCCACAGAGAAAAATAAAACAACGTTTACGATATACGAGTATATGCGCCTTACCTCCTTGGCGTGTTAATTAAGATGAACAGTTGCTCATCGTGCATTCCCGTCCCATTTTCAGTGGGTCTGACACGGTTTCGAAAACGTCCACTGAGTCGGCCCAGTGAGAACCCTGCATGCTTCAAGAGTGGATCCGCGGGTGGTCTTATGTTCACAACCTTCGCCAACAGTCTTATCAATCTGGTGACGTACTTTGCCATTCTTTAAATTTAAAATGTTTGTCACATTAAAAAAAACAACACACAACTGTTATAGAAATTAAGTTGTACAATATTCTTGCTGTAATTCTTGCGACAACTCAAGTCATCTTGCCACGCGCTAAGCCGAAGACAGCACCGGGGCTGACAAAAATGTGAAATGGTATAGGTTAACTCCCCATCAACACTATTTATTAAGTTAGTTATGAGGCACGACCCCCGAGTCTAACGCCCATCCGAAAGGACCGTGCTAAACAGGAACATTGTGTAAAAATGCCTTTTCTAAGAACAGAATGTCGGACCGAGCCGAGTCGAAACTCCTGAACCCCCAATCTCACGATTACGGGTCCGGCAGCCAGAGAATATAGGCTACCACCGCCATTCATCGGAACAGATACCACCCCGAAAACGTCCTCAATCGGATCCATCACTCATGTCACGTGGTTGTGGGCTGAAACTTGAACTTGAAACTCATCGGTGAGGAAAACTCGGTACAATGTTGTGAGCTTTCCCTTTCTTACAAAGGGCGAAAATGAACTTCTAAAAAAGCAGTTACCATCAAGCTTTCTACTTTCACATTACATTTACGTACAAGTTCCATGATTCAGTCATTCTTTTTTTAAACAGAATGTTCGCAACGAAAATGGTCCCAGTACACTGTATAAGAGAGTGCGCGATTATTTAAGGATGACCATGGCAAGAATCGCCCATTTTCTTAATACGCTCAATAATTTTCTCAATCGGACTTTTCGTAAAGAGCGACAGAGTGTTATGCTCCGGAAACCGGTCAAAGGATGGCGCACAGTTATGAGTTAGTTCAATTGCAGATGACCATGGTGAGTATCTCCACATGATTTGTTGGAAAAGTTTAATGGCTACCCCTCCTTGGCTCGGTTCTATGGGAGATGGGTATTAAATCGGTGGAGTCACCTCATAAACACGTTTACATGGCAATGTTGACGTGAGGCGGATGGGGAGGGGAGGCGGTGTTTTCCGATTCATGCATCAGATCAAGTCCACGAGGGCTATTACAAGTAGGCCCTGACAGGCAGGGTCGCCTCCTAAGTTTTGTGTCGATAGGGGCGTAAAAACACATTTTTTAAAAGAGAATTGTTAGTACAGAGATGAAAGTGAAAGTTCAGGTACATATACCGCTTTTTTCTGTTTTACTTTTTATCTATCGACAAATTTATTTCTGTTCATTTTCAGCTTTTCCAGACGAACAGTAAAATAACCTCCTCGTAGACGAGGTTCCCAGGAACTGAAACAAACTTAGCAGTCCCTTGTTAGGCTTACCTATCAAGCACAGGCAGACAATAGGCCAGTCCATGTTTGCCACTATGCCTCCTTTCATCGTTCGAGGTCTACACCTAAAGTGAGGGGAAAAAACAGAGGAGGGTTTGGGGGAAGGGGGTTGGGGGGGGGGGGGGGTTCCCAAAACCAAATTGAAATAAAAAGTACCCAAAAAAAAAACGGGGGGGGGGGGGTTGAAGGGAGCAAACCAGCACCTGCAAATCAAAGTGATACTTCTCCTGAAACGAATATGTTCCCTTCACCCTCTGGCTCTGATTACCTGATGGTCAGTGCTGGAGTGTGTGTCGACACCCCACATGCGCAGGTTTTATCATGTTATGCAACGGATTATTCAATAAGCCGCCCTTCCTTTAAACGATAAATTGTGCAGGTTTTTCAGTGTGGTATCGATTATGACGAGAATCAGAATGCCAACCTCGACCGTGATTAGCTGATTGAGTGTTCACTGAAACACGTTCAACTTGTAGACCTCTCTACCAGGTTGGATGTCGGGGGCACATTGTTTAGCCGAAAACAGCCCATGCGTTTTGTCTCAGAAGAACCAGAAAATAAGTAAATATATTAGCGGCCTTGAATAAATAGATTACAAATTGTATGTCCGATGCAATTTAGTCGTGTTGAAAAATAAACTTAAAATGGAGGTTTTCATGAGAAAAAAGCCTAAAAAGGACGAAAAAAAATATAAAGAAATGAAATAGCAGTCTTGACAATTGACTAACGGTAGATTTCTATTACTTAAACTTACACATTTTTAAGTCGGCAACATGTCGAAT